ACTTGGTCTCGTCATTAGCTATACTCCATCAAATAATAAGCTAGAGACTCCATAAACATCATTCTTACACATACTCATCACAAACTCAACCATGCAAATTGACGTACATCTCACTTGATCAAATACTCAACATAATGTCAACCAACATGCAATACCGCAAAGAATAATATAACAAATCAATTCAACCTGCATGCAATCGTCATGCTTATACTTAGCCTTATTCACATAAATTTACTGAGAACCTCAAGCAACACTTTCAACTAAATATACATATTGTCCGTTTAAACGGAACAACTTGATCATGTCATATTCCACCTGCATAACACATTGTTAGCACTTAAACACATACCTTTATTGAAATTCACGACTGATTATCGATCCAACATGCACAAATGTTTTCACAGGTTTTTCTTAGTAAAAATCGTAAACTCATGCATAATATTTATTCCGAACAATCATTAACCAGACATGCATGTACCTTAGGCACCATGACTCATGCTCAAACAAAAAACATCACTACACTCACAAATTTGATTCATAGGACTTTACTTCCCACGTGAACAGATCTCTCTACCTCGATGATTTGATCAGTCTAAGTCTAAGGACATAGAACTACCTTATAAATTTAGCCAAAATGGATTTGAACTTAAACCAGGATGAAAAAACTAGATCTTACCGTGATTTCTACCCTTGACTATCTACATTAGGAATATAGGTAAAAAATCCTTTTACAATCGAGTCTCAGTATAATTTGGCAAAGTAAGGTATAAAAAACTCAAAGTGGGTAGGAATTTGGGCAGAGATTCACTACCTAGAATGAAAAAAATCCATTTTATATTTATAGGAAAAACAAAGGAAAACTCGCCCTTATTTGTTCTCCCAAGTGTTAGTTGCGGCAGTACGAGTGTACAACATGTTGTCACATGCCCAGCATGGGGCATAATACCCCTGCAACCCAATCGTAACCCAGACACAGTCTGCGCATGCATCCACATGTGGTACACGTGGTAGTTCGGCCCTTCGACCCAACCACGACCAAACGTTACCCGCACGTGCTGAGACTGCGATGGGTAACTTCTTTTTCCGGTTGATCCGAACACCCTCGACCTTAGAATTTTCCTTGATCCAAATTTCATTTTTTTCGACCAAAACTGAAAAGTTTCCGACAAAAATTTCTTTTACACCCTTGGCTAAATTTTCCGAATTAAAAGGCCTTGGTCTTGATACTCGGTCCTATCCAAAGCATGGATTGTTGCGACTAAAAATTCTGATCCATCTTAACACATCGTGGTTAACTCAACTTAGGCGTACTTCTCTTTGTTCCAAATCGTGTCTTTGATCCAAATCATTGCCTTGATCTAGGCCTTAAGGAATTCAACTAATTGATTTCAACGCCCTTTCTTTTTAATAGGATCACGGCTCTCAAGTATCATTTCCTTGGCATGGTGTATTGATCCAAATCTGAAACTCCTTTGATCTAAATAAAAATTTTCTAGACTATAATATTTTCTAAGTCTTTTCTCGTCACTCCATATCTCACGACCTTGATCCCCAACCTTTTCGAGATCGACTATGCAGGCCGTCTTTGGCTCTTTCAAGGTTATTATAGAGACTCTTTCCCATTTTCATTAGTTTAAAAAAATTGGATTTTCTAATTTGGCAGAACAAAAGGCCAGATAGTCAAGGCGATGGCTATTCCCATGGTTATTATGGTCTATTTGGAAATCGAGAAATATGTTTTTTCCGAAGGGTGGAGGTGGACGCAACAAAGTTGTTCCACCTTACGAAGAGTGATTTCCTATCATGGAAAAGAGCTTAACTGCCTAATACAATTCCAGGGGAGGCCGACCAAATACTGGTTCAACGTCTCGTCGAGCTGAGTTGCAAAGTAGATATATTGTGAAAAGCGACAGATACAACCACAAGGTTAGGATGACTTTCCTATCGTGGGAAGGGACGATGCTAGTAGGAGCACAAGGACTCAGAAAGTCAAGGTCCCCATTGTATTCTTAGATGGAAGCATTTTTGCAACGATGTGCAGTATCTTAGAAAAGGGGGTGGATTGCTAGGCGTTTGAGACAAATTTAGAGCTGCTCCAAATTATTCAGGCCTAGACGAGTAGCCCGCTCTTACCATCCTCTTAGAGCATTTTCGAAACCTTAGATCTCGTTCAAAATGTCATTGATTTTTTATTCTATCAAAAGCGAATTGTTTAACCAGTTCAACACGTTTTAGAGCTTATAATTTTTCATTTCATCATTTTTAAGCAATTCTTCTCCTAAGTTGGTAATCAACAATTGTGGTATCTTTTTTAT